GTTTAATACTTGCTAAATTAACATGCTTTTCAACTTAAAGTGATTGTAGCTGTAATTTATTGATACTGATGAGCTGCTGTTCAGGACCTAGCTTACTGCACATCATTTCATTTATTCTAATCTCTACGTCTGAGTCACTCAGACTCCAAACGATTATTTTAGATGTTCTATTTTTCAAAATTATACATAACAGGAATGGAGGTTGAAACGTTTTTATTTATATGAACTTAAATATTTTTAATGCATGCTTGGCCATGCTCTAAATCTGAGACACCCCACCTTCATCGCACCTTACTGTCCACGACTTTCACACATTGGAATGATTACTCCTGTTATAGAAACTTCACTGAGAATTGAAGCACTTTTTTGTTTTGTTTATAAATGAAGTTGTTTACATCCTGTGAAGCTTTAACAAGCCGGCAGCACAGATGTGTTGTGTTTGTACAGTGTAGTTAAACACTGATCGTTCAGCTACTGTGTTAGCTATCTGGGTTGGGCGGGGGGGTTACAGGACTGAAACCAAAGGGCACAGAGTTTAACTCAAATACTGTATGTTTTGCAACAGTTCCTATGTTTGTTTGTTTTTTTATTAATTAATATGCAGTGAATAAATTGATTATAAACTATTGCTGCTTCACAGAGCGTCTTTGTTTTTAAGATGAAAAGCTTTAAAGGAAAAGTCCGGTCATATTCAGATTTTAAATTCTTAAAGTACTTTAAATATAAACTTATTGGGGACTAGTGGACTAGTTCTCTGGCTCTATGTTTGCAATTAACATTTAGCTCCATTCATCTTCCCTTTAACTCTGACCTGCTTCCTTGTCTTTGCTGAAGAAACCCATCCCCACAGCATAATGCTCCCACCACCATGTGGACGCTCTGTTTAGGATTATGTCCAGTGTTGTTTTTTTCTCACACATATTTTTTCCATTTTTTCAAACGGTTAAAATTTGAATGTGACGCCATCTTCTTCCTGCTTCTTCTACAAACAAACCTCTTCCCTACTTAATCTGTTCCTTGTCAGAACTGACTGTAGCTGCACAGATTGGACGGTGTTGAAGAAAACCTTTTAAAGGTTTCTTTTTCTCCTAAAGTGAGAGGACAAAGAAAGTGTGAGGTTGTCATCACAGAGAAAAATGTAACTCTAAAGCATGTGAACAATCAAACTCTGGAGCTCAGCAGTTAGAAAACAAGCCAAAACTTGCCTGGTGTTTGTGAGAGCTGAGTCAGACTGTGTCATCTGCTCTGTTAACGCTTTACAGATTGTGGATCTGTCAGTGCAGCTTGAGACAGATGGACAGAATAAATATCAGATCTGTGAAATACTCCAACGGAGGCTGCTGCTGAAGTCAGGCAGTTTTCCAGAAAAAAACGCTGTGATTCACTCACTTCTGTCCGGACCTTGTAAAATGAATTAGATTGATTTTATGCATTTAAAGTGAATCAGAAAGATTCACTTTAAATTATGAAAATGAAGAAAACTAAGGACAGAGTCAGACGAGGCTTCTGAGAGATTTAAATCATTAGAGAGGAAATGGGACAGGAAACTCTACCATGTCTTTACCGCAACTGAAGCTCTGTGCATGTTGGGCAATGCTCTGCTTTCTAGATGCTTGTGATGGAAGTTTTTTTTTCGAAGTTAAAGCAGCAGCTTATCTTACATAAAATCATCTGAACCTGCAAAATGTTTGATTACAGCATTCTCCACAACTATTGGCTTGAAATACTTTTTCTTTTTATATTAATAAAAAAAAAGAATAATAATAAATATGATAAAGAGGTCAATTTTCTCTAGTTATTACTCTGCATCACGAGGCTCCCTAGCAACTAAATTAAATTATCTCTGCTGGAGCCAGTTTAGAAAATAAACAAGCTTGCTACCCCCTGTGGGACTTTAACAGATGTGGATGGGATGCGGAACCAAACTTTAATACTATTAGGTATGGATAGGGATCTGTGTTGATGTGGCTCATATCATCTAACACGGTTTCAGAGACTTAAAGAGGATCTCAACGAATTAACAACATTTTTAGGGGCTCTATGAACATGATTCACATAATGTTTGAAAGTATACACCATCAACAGAGAGAATGTGCACCGTGGAGGACAGGGTCTGACAGCACAATCTGTTTCGGCAGCTTGTTAACATCTAGGCCTTAGTGACCTAATATACTCAGACTTTCTAACACCAATTTATTGGTATTAAAGATATTTTGTAGAAAAGCAATGAAATACTCAACAAGTGTTCCCAAGCTGCAAAACAAATCAGGAGAGACTTAAAGCATCAGGAAGCAAATTAAAGACAGGATATATGAACTGTTTTCAAAGCACATTAATCTTAATAAATTCGCTGCTAAGCTCCAGTTAAGCTTCAATATTCTGTCTTTTTCTTGGAGTTCCCCTTCAAACCGCAGCTTGATTCAACTTTAATACATTTCTTCAGATCAAAGGTTTCACATCTTTCTGCTGAAGTCTGTGGGACGGCACCATGCAGCGGGAGAAAAGTCTTCCTGGTTCTTAGAGATCTCTTCCACAGCAGAGTCAGTTTCATTTGCAAATAGAGCCTGCTGCTTCCACCTCATGGCATCGAGCTACATCAGTAGAAACGTGCGTAATGAATGCATCCACCAGATGCTGTCTGAAAATAAAAGCGCGAGCATCAACACATTTTGCAAGCGTGCGCTAAAAGCTGTTGTATATTATATGTCTTCCTGATGGCTCTAGTTGGACCCAAGTCCTCACAGATGAATAATTCATCAAATTGAGATCAGGAGTTTGAATAATCCTCTCTGCATCAAACAGTTACTCAGTCTGCCGCCCATCTCTCTCTCTCTCCCCTTCACATTGGACCTTTATGTTTATTAATAGGCCAGAGAACAGTCCCACCAGACTTATCAGGTTTCAGCGCAGGCTCATCTCTCATGCAGTAGCTCATTTCTCACTGTGGCAAAGACGAGAGATTTAATCTTTTTAAAGTGGCAGAATGACTTAGAGCAGCGGCTGTGTTTCACACTGTGACCGTGGGATTCTCACGTCGTTATAAGTTCTACAGTTATAAGCTAACTAAAGGCTTTAAGAATATTGGATTCAAGTCTGATCAAATAAAAGCTGGTAAAATCTTCCTATTTTAGGAACACCACTGTACCGACAGAATGCTAAATAATGTAGGAAGTTATAAAACTTCAAAGTATTGCCTAAGGTTTATGCTGTCTGGACTTTTTACATTCTAACCACTTAACACAATATTTTTAATAAAATGTGCAAATTGGGTCGATTTCTGCAGGCCAGGTTTTCCTGGTTGAAAAAATAAATAGAATGTCCTAGATATTTTATGGTAGAGGCTTTTTCTATGTATTATTTTTTTTTGTCTTCACAATGTCTTCAGCAATTTAAGGGGTATAGCTCACTATTTATTTATTATACAAAATTTAACAAACACTGAAGCCCAAGCTTGCATTTTGTTGATTGAATATTTGTGCTCGTTTATTATTGATTTAAATGAAAAGCATCAAAATAGTTGTCAAAACATGAATATCTTTTTTGCACTTAAAACTTGTAAGCTTTTTTTTTTTTTTTTTTTTTTAAAAAGGCTTTCTATCTATATATCAATTATACATCTGCATCTTTTTATATGTGCATCTGCATCACCTGCTAAGCTAGCAAACCAAATTCCGGCCATTACTGGATTGTGGTCGAGGGCAACCCAGAAACATTTTGAGGGCTGCAAGTGGCTCAGAATCGTACAGCTCTTGCTCAAAGGTCTGAGACCCAGATTTAAGTTTCATAAGCAAGAGAAACAAAATAGATCTTTATCCACACAAAAAAAAATTTTTTTATAAGGCCATAAGTATCATGTATAAAGATCACATTGCAGCAACTGACAGATATTTATTTTAATCTAGTTCTCCTGCAACCCCCTATTGTTACCACCCTGGACAACTGCCTGTAGGGTCCATATCACAACCTGTTAGAGGCAGTTAGGAATACATTTGATCATTTTAAAGATACACTGTGTACTTTTATTCACTAGGGGCACTAGAACTATATCTCCCAGGTTTTGCATCCCTGAAAAAAGCAACTATAATTGTGGGGTTCACTTTCTGTAAACCATAGCCTGGTCACCATGGGTACAATCGCTGTTTTAGGGATAGGTCTTAGGTTTAGGACTAAGGTGTGAATTGAGTTTAGGGCTAGGTATGAACCTGTAATTGTTAGGCTTAGGGTAGGGGGTTATGGTTAGGCTGTAGAAAGGGATTGGAAATGGATGGAAGTCAATAGGCAGTTTTCCTCCTGCGGTCACGTCCAGGGAGGATAGATACAGTTCTGTAAATCTTACATTTCTGAAAAATCTCAGCAGATGTAATCAAAGATACATCAAGCTGCTTGGAGATGGTCTTATAGCCTTTATATTTTATATACCTTTATTGTCAATAGTTTTCTCTCTTATCTCCTGAAACAAGTATTTCCTTTGCTTCCTCTGGTCCATGTTGAGTGTGATAAACACCATGTCACCAAACAGCACAGTGACTTCCTGCAGCCCTATAATTAGACCCACTGACTGATTACAAGATTATAGACACCTGTTATGCTAATTAGTGAACACACTATGGTTTATTGTGTCCCTTTGGTCATATTTTAGAGAAGTACCATCATATTTGTCCAGGGCTGTTGCGTGGGTTTTTTTTTAATAATTCCATTAAAGCATGGTTGCAAAGCAATGTCTGACTTTCAAGTGTTCATTTTCATAGGTTATTTTTAGTCATTACTTTTGTCTGATTCAATTTTTATTTCCGCGACCATTGAGGGTTTTTAAGTTAATAAATAACAGGTGACCATGTATGTATGTATATTTTTTTACCTGAGCTGAAGAGTTTGGCATCGCTGAGAGAACAGATGGGATCCTAATCACTAGCCAGACTGAAATGGTGTGAAACTGACGTGAAGCTGGTTGGGAACACTAAGTATGAGTTGTGTTAAGAAAAATCAACACTCTCCTCAAGTTGTTCTGTAAACCTTTTCACCTTTATTTTCTACATTTGGATCAGCTCAATGTGGAAGCCTGGACATGTCAGTTCCTTTAACCTTGCCCTCTCCCGGCCCCCAGCATGGGAACAAATGATACTCCCCGGTCTCACCATCAAAAGCATCTTCACCGTCACAGTTAGGTGCTCAGATAGGAAAGTCTGCATCACGTGTAAACCTTCCCCCACTAAAGGAAGCTGAAACGTTTTGAACTTTTACAAAATGACTCAAGCTCTGACTTACAGCAGCAGGAGTGACAAAAAAATTAAAAACAATAAAACACAAAATTGATTTGAAATGATAATGACACGTTTCTGTTGTTCAAAATATGAACTCAGAAGTTCTGTAGGTAAACTTGCAACAAATGAAGTGATTATGAGTTAAGATATATAGTCTGCTCTCTCCAGCCTCCCATACTTATTCTCTTAGTTTATTTATCCTAAAACACCAAATAAATGCTGCTTATGTGTCCCAACAGCAGTTGTACTGCTGCGTGTAGGCTGATATGAAAGGGATATGCTGAGCATTAATCTGCAGTATGGGCTTGTTGCTCTCCAAAATACAATTAAAAACAAATATTAAAATCAAGTTTTACCTAGAATGCATGGAGGTGAAAAACTGGGATACGTTCTGAACATGCTCACAAGCATCCACAAACTCCACTGCAGAAAAGAGGCCCTTGGAGTGTATTTCCTTAAAGAGGTCGATATGGGATAACATTTGCATCTCAGCATATTAGATATTTAACGAGGAAGTAAATTCATTTCAGTAACTTAAAACACATTCTAAACATTTAGCAATTAAGACCTGTTATTTTGATTCTTTTGGAACAGGTAATGAAACTAAAATGCAGTTCCCAGAAAGTTAGAAAGTTGCATTAGACTGATAAAGATGTTTTTTATAAACATCTTTTTTCAGCTTGGTTTTGAAGGCTGCTGACTGGTTTGGTTTCCAGCAGAGAATCAATGACAGCTTCCATGTGGAGGAAGTCACAAAATATCAAAACGGAAAAACAAGCTGGATGATTAGGATTCTCTATCCAAGCATATGGGAAGCTTACTGGAAGGAAAAAAAAAAATTCATTTGAAATAAAGTGCTATCAGCAGCCTTGAGAGTAATGAAAGAAAACCTATTTGATACTAAAGGAGAATCAAAAGTACACTCAATTAACAGTCACCACCTACTGATGTATCTGGAAGTTAAGCTGCATTTTTTATTCATGTTAAGATACCCCAGAAGTGTCTTACCAGGGATTAAAGAGAGGAATGACTGATGTTCAGCGATCCAGTCCTCATTTGAAACAAATGATTTTCATTTCATATGCAAATCATCGTCCCTAAGTTTGCAGGATGATAGGAGAAGCACAAGCAAAACAAAAACAGTAGTTTACCTCCAGGCCTTGTGGCACTGATGCAATCTTCTGTGTTCAAAGATCTGGCTGCTGAGTGTATATAGAAACGCTTTTCAACAACCTGCAATTCGTATGGGAAAAAAATCGGATTTTTTCTGAGAAACTGCTTTTTTTTTAGCTTCAAGCACTAAATTAATAATTAATTTAATTAAGAATTTTAGCTTTTTGATGGTTCATATTTTTGTCTGACATTTTTATTTACTGAGATGCTCATGTGTGGACGGCCTTCTGCAGAGAGAGTGTAGCTCTGTAGTGTTTTATGGGACAGCTTTTCATAGTTAAACACTACAGTAGGCAGTATCAGTTTAATATCCAAGAAGCCTGTTGATGTGCTTGAGAGTGCATTTGCTGTATGATGAAAAGGAGAAACTAAAGGTTACTGAAACAGTAGAAACAGACAAGGCATGTAAAAACTGGACATAGAAATCTGAAGATATCACAAACATATTTCTCTATCTCTACATTTCTGCTGTTGGCAGACGTCGGTTTGAGCTTCCTCTTTTTGTCTATATTACGTGCCCTCCTTTAGATTACAGTCTGTAAGACGAGATACCGAGAAGTAACACCAGAGGGGGACATACACTGTTACAAGACTGCAAAGGAGGGGCTCTGACACGTCCACACACGCAGGCACACACCAGACGTGATCTCTCACACACGCAGTCAGACATGCATCCTTCTTCATAAGAGTCCATGATCAATACAAGTTATAAAATTAAATAAAAAAAAAAGGAAAACAACAAAAACAAATATTCAGGCCCCTTCAAAAAGCATACATTCATCTCGGGTCAAACACACAGATAAGTGCACGCACACAGATCGGAGGCAGTCAGTAAACGTTAAGTGATGAGCTGAGGGGAAGCTGTGTGCAGAACCTCGACTCCACTCGCCGGAGACAGCAACATCTAGAATCTCTTCTTAAAAAAAAAAAAAAAGCAAATGTAAAACGACAGATATGATCTCTTAGAGAGTCTCTACAGTCCTCTCTATTCACTCTGAGGAAGCTTGAAGAGTCTCCTTCCTCTGATCTCTGGCAGAGGTAGTACCGTCCCATCCCTCCTCCTGAATCCCCCACCAGAGAAGTCTCGGTCCTTGTGCCCACATTGAATAAAACATGCCCGCTCTTCTGACTGCTTGCTCTGGGCCGCTCTGTGTGTTTGGGGGCGTGTACGTTTGGGGGGGTGCGCTGTATGGTCAGAAGACCTCGGGTAGTGTGACGTTGCGCAGCAGCCACTGTTGGGAACGGGAGTGTGTGCAGTCTCTGACGCTGGGCACCTGGCTGTCCTCCTCGCTGGCCTTGTCCAGGCACTGGTTACTGTTGACGTGGACCAGAGTCAGCTTCTGCACACACAGAGAGGCGAGGGCACATGTGAGGGCTGCTAACACCAGCTATATGATCAATGTTTACATCCTCAACATTAGCAGCATAGATCTAGATACCAAGGCTGCACAGCATCACAACTCCAGGTTTTCTCTCCAACTCACCACAGGATCATATTCCCACAGCTGGTTGCCTTTAAGGTGATGGCACTTGAGCATCATGACGGGCCCGTTCAGCTTGGAAACATCTAAACACAAATCATCAGTCCGGATTTCTTTGTTGGCTGTGTAGGAGAAGACCTGTAGGTCACACACACAAAAACAGGAAGGAGATTATCAAAGCTGATATCCAGGTTCAGAACCATCTGTCTAATAAGCTGTATTTAAGCCTTAAAGAGGAACGCAGTTTTTTTTAACATTGGGCCCTTGATTTTAAGTTATTACATCATGTTCTACTCCCCCATATGAGTTTTGTGTCATTTGGAGCCGTTCTGAAGGTATTCTGTTAGGTTATATCCAGGTAACGTCTTCCTATGGGCAACGAGTTGAAGGCACAAACTAAACTAAAGTAAACGAAACGGCGTGTGTATGACCTCATCCAAGTGCGCCGGCTACCTTTCATTCATCCTGTCGGCTGAACTGCTGCTAGTTTTACTCCCATGCCTGGAAGATGTCTAGTGCTACTACCACAGATGATCCTGCTCTCGAAATGGAATTGAACGGTTCAGATTAGCTAGCCGAATGAATAGAAGGGGTAGTGCGTAGCCGCCTGTGGCCCGGGCTGCCTGCTATGACTCTAGTACGCATGCGCGGATGACGTCAAACACACGCCGCTTTGTTTTTAAAACATATAAATATAACAAATATTACCGCGGATGTCTGGGAGACAGTGATTCACCTACATGTTATGAATGCTGGCGTACCATAAAGAATAAATTATGAACAGTTTAGTTTGTGCCTTCAACTCATTGCCCATAGGAAGACGTTACTTGGATATTACAAAATGGAATATCTTCAGAACAGCTCCAAATGACAGAAAACTCATATAGGTGAGTAGAACATGATGTAATATCATAAAATCAAGTAAAAAAAACGGCGTTCCCCTATAATGTTCCTCTTCATAAAGGTTTGGGACGTCCTGCAGCAGCTTCTGTGCAAGGATTATACAGAAGTCATTCACAGTGATGTTACGAGGTAAACAACAACATCCCAGATATCAGAGGCGTCATTTCAGGCTGTGGAACAACACTTTGAAAACAAAACAGCTGCTTGATATTTAGGTTAAATAAAATGCTTTCTTGTTTATTATTATTTTCTTTATAAATGCCCTAACCTACCACACCGTTTTATAAGATGGTTTTGCCATTGATGCAGCTTATTAGACTTTTTTAAAGCTGATTCAGCGAAGCACAGAAAGCTCTCTATGCTGCAGGTAAAGGCAAGGAAATAATGAGCCTGAATCCTCCTTCCGCTCGAGATCAGACTGTGGCTCCATCACTTATATAGAATATTGGTTATCACCAGAGGAACAAGCCTTAAGCCAGAGGTAGAGCCAACTTCAGATTGTTTTCAGCTACAGCCCACCCTCTATGCAGACTGTCATCAGTGTGTTATTAGTGCTCTTATAGTGCTCAGAAACTCTGTGGTTTTTGTCACTTCAATCCACGCATCAGAATTAAATATAGTAAATATTAAATGTATTTTTTTTTTTTTATTTGAGTCAGTAAGTATTTACCAAATATTTGATTCAAATTCAAGAGCCAGGGACAATGATAGCTGTTTTAAAGTTTTTCTTTTATGTGTGCCTCGGTTAACTGCCTCTTAAGTAAAAAAAAAAACATAATCAACTTCTGTAGTTTGGGTTCAGGTAAAATATTAATGAATGTTTGAAAATGATTTAATGGATTCGGAGGGTATGAGTTTTAAACGTATTTAGAGTTGTTCTAATCTCTTTCTGCTTTGCTGATATTTATATTGCTCTCTCCTAAGGGCTGAATCAAAGCAGTCCAGTGGAGAGGCAGAGAGAGGAGATTAAACTAAATGCATTTTTATTTTGAATCCTGCAAAAACAATCCTAAAATTAAGACGTTGCATTTGAATGACACTAAAGTACGTTTAAAACAGCAGGACATATCTTAACATTGCATTTTTTTTTCTTTACTGACTCATTTCTATTTATATTAGAATATATATTAAAATAGTAAATTAGAATATTTTCAGATGTTGAGATAAAATTAGAAATTTGTTCCTTTTGTGACCCAGTTCCCTCCACCTACTGAGGAATATAGATATTATGTTTATCTGTAGATTTTATAGCAGAGAAAAATATGTTTTCAGTCAGACAGCGTTGTTAGATAAATACAGAATTGTGGTTATTTCAATTGCACAGAATAAATAATTTTTTAAATAAATGTTTGTTTTGTTTTTTACTTTATTTTTATATTATCATTTCTCATATAATCAATATCTTTATGTGGTGGACAGGTGTTCTTGCATAACTGTCAGTTTCATGTCTTGGGATATTTGCAGGTGTGTCATTTTCTTTTTACTTTCAGACGACTGACAGAACAGCGAGCAGAGCTTGGACTGATTAGCCTGCTCTTTTCTTTTCTCATTATCATCTGAGTCCTTTACAAAACGTTCAGCAAATGTACATATTTAGTCCTGATAAAATACAAAGCAGGTTGTTTTTGTAAAAAGGCTGAACCAGAAAAGGCTAAAGCATTTGGAAACTCTTAGAATCAATAAAAAAACAAAAACAAAACTATCATGCAAACTGCTAAAAAATGAGCAAAGTTTAAACTTTTCATCATTTACATATGTATCTCAGGAACCCTTTTTGTTGCAGCAGGAACTGCCTTCATACCTGGTTGCCTCCCATGCCGTGGCAGTTGAAAATGCCAACCTTCTCGTTTTCCTTGCGAGCCATGTTGTCCAAGCACTGGTTGGTCTCTACGTTACGGATCTGAGGCAAACACACACAGATCAAAGTAAGGATCGCTCACTAACGCAGCATAGACAGTCAGTGTGTGTGAAGGTGTGCGTGCTGATGGTTACCTCTCCCAGGGAGTAATAGTGCCTGGGGATCTGGGAGTCAGGGTAGACATTCTCCAAATACCAGCTGAAGGGTTTACACTGGAGCTTATGTCTTAAAGAAATGCGAGATGAGATGTCACCGTAGTCCACTTTGGTCACACCTGGAAACACAAACACAGACACAGCATTAATGGGGACAAAACGCCTCAGCTCAACCATCATTGCCTGACCACTAGAGGACACTTAGTAATGTTCATAAATACGATGCTACCCTAAAACATATGGTAATCTAAGCGAATCAGGTAATATCAAATATTTGTATTTTCTTTTATTTTAACCAAGCACTGGTTACTTGATCACATTTAATCATATTTAACTACAAACCTTAACATATTAGATTTTATTTGGTAGAAAGGAAAAAAAAAAAAAAAGAAAATTACTGCAAATTTTGTATTCTTTCTTCAGCTTTCTTAAAATGCATTCCAGCCAGGTGGGCTAGTTAGAGGAACCATGCAGACCAATGAACAAACCATGGTTATGGAGAGATTACAGTGGGGTAAGGATATGAAGCAATATCCCAAATACTGTAAGTTTGTGTTTTTAGTAAGAATAAATGTGAACTATTTGCAAGGCTTTGTATTTTAGCTTGTAGTAGGTATTCAGCAGAACGGTTTCTGCTCTAATAGAATGTAAGCAAAATGTTTAGAAACCTTAGCATGTTTTATTTTAATGTTTTGCTCAGTGTTTTTTTTTATTGAACTCTTTAAAGCAACAACATTCTGATGCCTGTTTTTTTTTTTTTTTTACTTTTCTGCTTTCCATGACTTCATGTGTACTTAGGACAACGACAGGAGTCCTGGAGCACAGACAGAGGCTGACAGAACTACCAGTGAGGTGAAACCATGAGATCAGTTTATTTTCTGTAAACTGTCATGTTTCACGACAGCTTGGATTAGTCTGACAGACCTGCCATGTCGGTGCAAGAAAATACAAGCAGTAAATGTATAAATAATATAAAATGTATAAAAAAATATATACATTTAGACAGGTTTATGCGCATAGAGTAAAAGTTGAAGATGCAATAGTGAACATAACGTTTTCTTTCTAACAAATATCTTTTGCCTAAATAATTATAGAGAAAAGTTTTTTTTTTTTTTTTCCAAATTGGCTGAACTCTAATCTTTTTACCAACATCTGCTTTTCCAATAAGGCGAAACCAAGCAGTACAGATCTCAGGTTATAATGAAAATGATAAGAAAATGTCAAGATGACCTGGCAAGATTCCTATTCCATGTAATAAATTTGCTTGGTTCCTCTTAATGTCAGCATCACTTCAACTCTCCAACAGCATAATGACGCAGTCAGGCTGCTTCCTGCTCATTCTGAAACAACTGGACCGGTCTCACCTCTCAGAACCCCCATCTATCCCTCAGGACACCATGCCTATCCTAGCATCAGTTCATCTCTTCCACACTCCTTCCTGCCTCGCTTGTTAAAATACTGATACATTAATAAGCAGTAATGAAATATTAAACGTTCAACAAGTCTTTCAGCAAAGACTATAAAGCTGTTTGCTGACCACAGGAACAGTTTCCTGTGGCTCCCTCCATGCCAACAGACATTGGACATTTAACCATAGCTAGTTTTGCTGACACTGGGCCAATCAGGAACAGGAAATGTTTTTGACACCATTTGCATGAGTTTGGTTAGTTTTTAACCAACTACATTATTTAATAAACACATCCCTAACAGTGTTTTTTCATAAAATAGGTTTTCCACAGATGCTAAAACCTGGACAGCTGCAACACTCCTGAACAGGTTTTCAAGTTTGGACCTATTGCAGTTATGCAAAAATGTCACTTTGTATTAACCAGAGATAAGATTTAGATAACGCATTAAAAAAAAAGAAATCGAAAAGGCCTCTGTCGTTAGGGTGAGAAAGCAGCATGATATAGCCCAATACAAAAAAAAAGATTTACCAGAATCATTTTATATATTATACTTCAGTATTGAATTCAGGTTTATTGGACTAAGAGAAAATCTGCAATATGCTTTAACACAAAACTTGACAGGTGCAAAAAATTGGGTACCCTCATCTTTTTTATTGATTTGAATATCCCTAACTACTTTTCACTGACTTACTGAAACACACAATTGGTTTGGTAACTTCATTAAGATTTGAACTTCATAGCCAGGTGTATCCAATCATGAGAAACTGTATTTAAGGTGGCCAGTTGCAAGTTCTCCTGTTTGAATCTCCTCTGAACATTCATCATGGGCACCACAGAACAACTCTCAAGTTATATGAAAATAAAAATTGTTCAACATAGTCGTTCAGGGGAAGGATACAAAGAGTTGTCTCAGAGATTTCAGTTTCCACAGTGAGGAACATAGTAAGGAAATTGAAGACCACAGGGAAAGTTCTTGTTAAGCCCAGAAGTGGCAGGCCAAGAAAATTATTAGAGAGGCAGAGAAGAAGAATGGTGAGAATGGTCAAGGACAACCCAAAGACCACATCCAAAGGGCTGAAGCATCTACTGTGCATTGTTCAACATCTCAGCGCATTTTGCACCAGGAGAAGCTGTATGGTATAGTGATACGCAGAAGCCTTTTCTGCAAGCACGCCACAAACAGAATCACTTGAGATTTGCAAAAGCACATTTGAACAAAACAGTTTCATTTTGGAATAAGGTCCCGTGGAATGACGAAACAAAAAAGGGCGTTATGCATGGCGCGAAAAAACAAGCTAAGAAAAACACTTGCTACGCACTATAAAATTTGGTGGAGGTTCCTTCATGCTTTGGGGCTACGTTGCCAATGCTGGCATTGGGAATCTTGTTAAAGTTGAGGGTCGTGTGGATTCCACTGAATATCAGCAGATTCTTGAGAATAATGTTCAAAAATCAGTAATGAAGTTGAAGATGTGCCAGGGATGGATATTTCAGCAAGACAATGATCCAAAACGCTGCTTCAAATTTACTCAGGCATTCATGCAGAGGAAAAATTCCAATGTTCTGGAATGGCCATCCCAATCCCCAGACCTGAATATCATTGAACATCTGTAGGATGATTTGAAGCAGGCTGGTCATGCTCGGCGGCCATCAAACTTAACTGAACTGGAATTGTTTTGCAAAGAAGAATATTTAAAAATTCCTTCATCCAGGATCCAGGAACTCATTAAAGGTACATGAAGCGACTAGAGGTGAACTGTAAAGTGCCTTGAGATTACATGTTTTGTGAATTGGTGCTATATAAATAAACTGAATTGAATTGCTGTGTTGGCAAAAGGAAGATCTAATAGATATTAATGCCTCTTTTTTGCTGAGGTGCCCATATTTTTGGACCTGTCAAATTTTGTTTTAATGCATACTGCACATTTTCTGTAAGTCAATAAACCTCAATTCAACACTGAAATATTACTGTGTCCATCAATTAGATATATCAAACTGAATTTGCAAAGCCCCAAATATTTAGAAATAAAAATTAGTAAGATTAATAGGGGTGCCCAAACTTTTTTATATGACTGTAAGAATGACTGGAATCATTCTGTGTACTGAGCACAACAGCCCATGAGCCGAATGCAGCATGTCAGAGTAATTCATCAAGTCACAGAGTAGAGGCAGAGTGTTTTTAAGGGCACAAAGTGGCTGAAACAAATAAATTGAAATTGAAATACCAGAACAATGTGCTCTTTGTAAATTAAATGATGAAATTAAAAGTTTCATTCATATAGCTGTAACTGATCCTGTTTAAAGCTTTGATGATGCCAAAATGGCCCCTGCACTAACAAGTGCAAAGGAAGTGACCTATTTGATGAATATCTTTTCATTTCACAACAACAGTTGCTTTTCAAGAGCAAATCGCAGGTTAGATTTTTTGACAACATGCAAACCAAGTGTTGTCTAATAAATCATATTTGAAAAGTTTATTTAGGATTGAAAGTGTTTTGACCAACATAACGATGTTAATTATCCAATAAAGAGCTCTCACAAGGGGTCAAACCATCAGCGCTGCTTCAGTTCTGTATAGAGAGCAGGTATTTATTAATTAGAGCGGATGAAGTTTGATCATTTATTTATTAAAACCATGGTCAAATAATGTGTTTGTGGGAGGTGTTAAATGGAGCTGATATGAGTTAAACTGAGATGCTACCAGTGTTCAAGTTATGGTAAAAATATTAGCGGAGCAGAGGCTCAGTAAACAGGAAATCCCATACAGTGGATGGCTGATTGGGAACTGTGACTGGTTTCAATATGAATGCTGGAGAAACTTTAAAGGGAAAACAAAGGGATATACTATTACTGCTGCACATCTCAGTGCGCACAGGAAGAAGGGGACATTGTCTCACCATCAGATGGTTTTTCTTACTGCTTACCAGCCAAAATTTTGCTCTGAGATCTGATTTCAATTTTTAAAAACATCACAGTGCAAAATGGCGTCATCTCATGACGTCTGTAGCAGGATGCTGCTGGACTGAACTATTGTTGTAAAATTGCCTCTAAAAACCAAGCTGTGACTTTACTATGACTGTCAGAAGATGTTATTGCTATTCTCTATATCGTTGCTGTTTCCCAATGATCTCATTCTCATTTTCAGTTTGACTAACATCACTGAATCAACAATACTAACAGATTTTATAAGGTGCGTAGCATTTTTGAAGTGTCCAAATTATAATAATTGAACTGTGATTTGGTGCCAACATTTTTCAAAGCCTGTCTTGGTAGAATGTTGTCACAATATTACCTGCTCCCATTATTCAACAGTTTAATAATAAAAGAAACCGTCAACCACTTCACTTTTCTTTTTATAACAAAAATAAGCTTTATTGAAAACTTTCAGTAACAGTCTGCCATAATAATTTCAAATGTGCTGCTGTTTGACGTCTACATTCTCCATCTGTGGATGCGGATCTCCTGGGAGTTAGAAGCAGCTAGAAAAAAAGTCTAATGCTGATTGTATTTAATAAACAAGATAAACGACCATTTTTTTGAATTTGTAAATAACTACATAGGCATGTTGTCATTTATTATAGAGAGATTGAACAGGAAATCCTTAATATATAATATTATGGGGAGGTCAACATTTTTGGTGTTTAAATCTGACAGATTACAAAGAAGTTATAGCAGATTGGTGATATAGTTGCGAGGCTTTAAAAAAGTATCTTAAAAGAATGACGACAGACAGACAACAGTATGGATTGAGGCAGAGACAGACAATCCTAGTACTACAAGTTAATAAAAAGAATATAAATACAGTGAATATTTTTCCAACCTTTTTTCATACCTCCCAGCTTAAAAATGCTCAAAGAAAAGACAGATTTTCACCAGACCACATAACACCTCTGTAAGATGGAAATGAATGAAAACACTGCGACAAGTTTAAACAACCAAGTCTGACCCTACCCACACCCATAGTCAGCTATACATGGGCTGGTTTAAAAATGGGAGCCAGTACACAGTGGCTCTAACCACCCTTACCACACAAACTTTACAAAACAATTGTTTTCAACCTCTTTCTTCCTTCGTTCTTCTACAGGCTGCACTAGTGCACCACCCTTGATGTGTGGCATATATATTACAACCCCTATTACAGCTTTATTGGCTTCAGGCTGTCTCATTTTTACTCTAGAGGTTTTTTTATGCAGATACCTTCTTCAACTTTGAGTTACACTACCCTCTTGAAACTGCTGAGATCGGTCAGAGCATGGTAACCCAGATAACTGTTAAAATGGCATGCAAAACTGAATCGGACCGTATCAGATACAACCAGTGATAACATGGTACCAGTTCATCAGTAGGGCTTGGCGCGGTTCAGTTGTAGCTCAGTTCTCTGATAACAAAGAGCGCATGAGCAAATCGTGTCATCTCCTCACAGTCAGCCTCCGTAATCATGAAATATCAGACATTCATAAAAATACTAGCTTCCCTACCGTGCCACACCATTTCCTGTGATCATTCTGGTTAACTGTCATGAACCTCAACATCAGTCGTTTCCTGTGTTCATAAGCCCTGATTTTCATATCCACTTTTCAAAAGCCGACTCTGTCAAGTAAATTCATCATAGGCTGCATTTTTCGCCTGACTCTCCGCAAACAACCAAATATGATAATTATAACCAAATATCTTTAATGTTACAGGCTCCGCCATGTTGGTTTGCTTGATTCCCTCTAGAGAGAAGTAATACCATAGCACAGTAGTAGTACCGTAGATCGTCACTAGGAGGCGAGGACCCTTGCTAGCATGGTGTGTAAACAGTTGTAAGGAACCAAGCTCGGCACGGTTAACTGATCCAAGCTCGGTTCGAACTCGGCATGAATCGGTTTTCAGAGGGTAGTGTAAATGGGGCTTTAGTTACTTGTAGTATATCTGTCCCAATGCTCTTCGTATACTGGGAAGAACAGGCTTTTATACACACTGCAAGCAACCGCTCCAGGGTGCTGATCCATTCTGCCAAGACCAGCAGTTGTAACCATGCTAGGGTCCGGTTCAAGGACCCTGAATTGGGTTCACACTAGCCTGATCCATTCCAGAAACCGGACTATGTTAAAGTTCAAAGCTTGAAAAAGGTCTGGCTTGACATCATGGTCTGTCTTTACAAAACTCACCTAAAGATATCACCTTATAAGCTGACTAGTATAAGGTAATATCTGACTAGGGTTACTGGGACCTGTTGAAAAACTGACAGAACACTATTTTCTGACTTTTTTTTACTTTTGTGTTGCCTCCACATTCTAAGCTTGTGTGTATTCCTGTTTGTGTGCTGAGGTAAATAGATCTTCTGTAGCATGAAATTACTTGCTGCCACACACCCTGCGCTGCTCGCCTACCACTGCAGTATCACACTGTCACCAGGTTAATGGATTGATCACACACTGCCACAGAGATTAACCTCCACACACCAGTACCTACATGCATATCTTAATGAAGACATAAGCACACATCGCCTGACTCACCAGGAGAGATTATGTAGAAGAAGTTCTTGAATTCATCCATCCAGACCTCTGCCAGGCGGCGGTTATTTTTGTTGATGATCTGTCCCGTTCCTCCGGGAAACGTGTAGGGCGTTGCCTTTCTGAACACGTGACCCACGTGGGAGCATGTGACGATCTCCAGGGTCCCTCCACACTGCCAGATCTGATGAGGAAGAAGTTTATAAAATGTTTTGAAAAGCATATCTTGAATGTGTTAATCTTGGTCTCTCTCAAAAGATAGCTGACTGCTGAGGTTTGTGAATCTGAAATCAGAGTGTAGTATTGCTGTGAGTGTCTGATTCTTAACCCTGGCTGACGGTGCTGAAACCTTGCCAGCGCACTTCAGAAAAGAGTCATGCTAGTTGGCTGCGTTCACTCACTCTGAATGAAATTTCCAGGTTTTCTCCTCCCCAGATGTCCATTCCTGCGTCATATGTGCCGATCTCCTGGAAATAATCCCTGTCTATGGAGAACAAGCCGCCTGCCATGGTAGGAGTCCTGGTGAGCAGAATAAATTTAAAAAGTGAGGCTGGTTTGTGTCACTTCATTCCCCGGCAGCCTGTTTTCTAAAGGTCACTCAATATCTACAGATCCCATCAGAGCTTTATATTTCAGCCCTTGTTCTTTACCATCTTCCTGTTATTTTCCATTTCTCTTCTTTCCTCTGCCAGGGCTCTATTGCTGTGATGGTCATGTCAATGTTTAATAGCCTCAGTCCTCCTTCCCTTCACATCCTGTAACACAATGGCTTCCTCCTTTTTAAAAGAGGCCTATTTTCTCTACTACCTGTTTTCTTCTTTCAGATAACGATTTTAAAGCACTCAAAAAGAAAACCCCCAAAACAATCGCATAGAAATAAACCCAGCTGGAATGGTGGCGTGCATCACAGCATTTATCCGATGAATAAAATCAAAGAAATTAAAGATGATGTAGAAGAAGCAACTCGATGAGAGTAAATAAATAACTGAAGATTCTCCATTAGCGGATAACACATCAAAGTTGTGTAAACAACAAAATTATCTCAGACCTTTTATGAGAGACGTGGCAGTAAAACAAACCAGAGTTGCTAAATTAAAGGGAAGCTCTGATCCTGAACGAATCTGCCTTTCCAAACAGAGTCTGTCGCATTCATAAGAGCAGCGTTTACAACCCTCTGATTATAAAAATAGTGATTTGCACAAATTCTGGCACCATAAAACACAACAGAAACCTCAAAAAAGGACAGTTAGAATAAATTAAAATAGATTTTTATTCCTTTTTGGAAAAGTTACAACATCTCAAACACTGATATTTCTCACATTAGGAGAACATCAGGAAATATTTTTGCATTTAATGTTGCTTTAAATTCATATATAAAAGGTCTGCAAAGCAAAATGGCAATAAACAATCAAAAATAAGGGCGCTGCAAGTTACATAAGATATATTATCTAAGTGACCTTGAAAAGTGGCGTCAAAGCAAGCTTAGAAACAAGAGCAGGAAGCACAGATGATAGACAGCGAGAAAGAAACTTCATTTTTGCTTCAAGGTCTCAAGCTCGAGAGGCAAAGCAACAAGAATAGTAATAATAAAAAAGAAACAGTAGCTCATAAACGACATTGAATTCAGCTAGAAAGGAAAGTTCACTGCGTTCAATCAGTTCTGCTGCCCCGAAAGCATCCTATGATTAAGCATGTCTAAATGATTTGTTATGTATGACTGCTCTACACAACTGTGAATGCCTATCAGCAAAATTAATGCAAACAGGATATGTGATTCTAAGCAGCTGACTGGAGTTGGTGTGGCACATTAAGTGTTGGGTTATATCGCTGCTATTTTATTTTGTCTCTAAGGGAAATTTTTTTCACATGACCTAACAGAGAGGTCAAACTCAGTTGCACAAGAGCAGAACAAACAGTCTAATAATCCTACTGAAATAAGTTAAAAAGCTGCTAAATGAATTGTGTTGCCAGACCTGACGGGTAGCGTGCGGTCTCCTTTGCGGCGGTCCATCTCCCTCTGAGGCACAGGGTACCAGCGGAAGTTCAGCTTCCAGTTGAAACCCCCATACGTCATGTCAGACCCTGCCATGTACTCAAATGTATCGTCACTGATAACGTCGATAATGGGGCACACAACTGTTCTCCTGGAGGAGTAATAAGAAATACTAGGTTAATCTACAAACCTGCAACATTCAAAGGTGAAATAAAGCAGCTGTGAAAAAGCTTAGGTTGCCAACTATCTGTAAGATGAGACACCTACTACCAGTAGAACAAAAGCCAACTAATGGGAATTCTAATTGCTAATCACATCTTAGTTTTCCGTTACCGTTTGTGAGCACATGACATGTAGTAAACGATGATTTAGAACTAAACACAAGGATGAGCCCCCTGCAGATTCAACAGCAGCAGTTTAGACACTAATACTTGGTAATAGTGTCCATGTCTCTCATGTAAATTGGTCTTACTTGTCTTGTTTGATGCGGGCCAGCAGAGGCTCTAGCCACCCTGTGGTGCATTCACAATGAGCATCCAGAAAGGTGATGACCTAAGAAGCCAACAAGGAAACATCAGACAAATCCAGCATAAGTCTGCAGCAGGTGCAGTGCAGGTTACAGGCTAATTCAAAATCACATATACATAACCTTGGCAAGATAAACACAATCATTTTATTTTTGCATCTTTATTTGTGTTAAAAACACAAAATTACATTTAATTAAAGAGTATTCTAAGTGAGACCACAACAAAATGGCACATGATTGTCAAATAAAGAGAAAACAATGAATGATTTTAAAGATTTGCTTCAAGAAATATCTTTAAAAGTTTTGTACTTTGGTATGCATTCCTGTTGAGGTAATATTTTTGCAGAACCACAGTTGGCTGCAATTACAGCTGATAGGGTTTTATTCATTAGTCTCTACCAGCTTTATGCATCTAACGATAAAGGTTTTTGCTTATTCTTCTTATCAAAATACCGCATGGTCAGTCAGACTGGATAGAGAGCGTCTGTGATGAGCATCTTTAAAGTCAAAGAACCTGTGAAGAACCTGGTTATATAAATTTTTCTAAATTTTATCTGTAAAAAATTTGAATATTACGCATTTTTTCCTTCAACTTTCCAGCAGCAATAAACATTGCTTTGTGTGGTCAATCAAGTAAATCCTAAAACAAAACACTGACAGCATATAGTTGTCGCATGACAAAACGTAGTCAGACATACAAAAACACACCTGGCCAGTAGAGATGGAAGCCCCTTTGAGGCGGGCACGAATGAGTCCAGACCGCTGCTCCATCCTCACCACTCTGACCGGCACTTCTAACTTTCTGACGTACTGCTCCAGCGGCCGTTTGAGAAAATCTGATACAAATAGAAAAGATTGCAAAAAGGAAACACACCTTTAACATTAAGATTAACAAACTTTTCTCCTTGTAGCAACAAAGGTCACTCAAAACTTTTACTAAACTAAAACTAGTTGGCAGGTCTGTCAGTATCGTTTCTACACCCCCTCTTGTTTTACAGCATCAGCTCTCATAAGATGCATTGTTACCTTGTGTTTGCAGCTGAGGGGAATAGAGGTTATAGCACAGCGTAATCCTAGTGGCTGGCATATTAAAGACCTAATCTCTCCCAAACAGGGATTACCAGCATTGCGCAGGGTAAGTTGGCACACAGCCCTTAAACATGTATATCTTGACTCACTACCCACAAGAGAACATGAACGACTAAAATTATACAGCAATAAAAAAAAAAGATAGGCTAAGCCCGAAAAAGGAATCCTCAGCAGTTTGCATATTACCTCTCTCACTGGCATCGTCCACCAGGACGATCTCCTCCAGCAGTGTGTGTGGAGAGCGATCAATAACTGAGTGAACGGTTCGCAGCAGTGTACTCCAAGCCTCATTGTGAAATACGATCACCACGCTGGTGCGAGGAAGATTATCAGGGTATAACTTGTTCTTGCACCTATGGAGAGCAAGTAAAAAAAACACAAAGGTTTTTATGTAACAAAACTGGCAGAATTATCTGATACTTTGAGCAGAGAAAAAAATATAACCAACTATCGAGCCTCTTTTTATTTGTAAAAAAATCTGCAATTAAATTGTTCTACAGCTAGAAGACGTGCACTGACTCTAAAATAAGCAAAATCAAATGAAGAAATCAGGCAGTTATGAAATCAATCAGGCAATCATGAGATCAGGACTCTGTTAAAATTATATTTCTATAAAAAAATGCTAGAGATGAATAATGAGGTAGAAGTAAAACAGATATTCCAAATAATGGAGAGTAATACGGGGCAGAAGTCTGCAGCATGACAGCTGATGAATGCTCCTAATTAGATCCTAAGTCAGTAATACCAGATAAGAGCACAAAGTTCTCCTTCGAGAGAAATAACACTGAAAATACTTACAAGAGAATAACAAATAGAACAAACTGAAGACAAAAATCAGGAAACAGTTATGGCCAGAGGGTTACAAATACAAATCACAGAGCTAATATCACCATAAAAGACACATTTGAAGTGATTTTTCTCCCTGGTGAAATGATTCACTACAAGGATGTTTAAAGTATCTTAAAAATGGGAAGCAGTTGAACACAGTTGAATATATTTGTGAAATTTTCTAAGCCAAACAGGTTTATATTTTTATAAAAAGGTTTAAACTTACACATAAACCCCCACATAAACTTAATTTAATGCCTCTTAGCAGGGTACATTTTAACAGCCCACTAAGCTACGGCATGCTTAAGACATAGTTCTGTTTTGATATTAGATTATCTTTGTAGACACAATTAGCATTTTGTTGGCTTGGTTTTAGTAAAAACATTGAACAAAAGCTCAACTAACCATTATTTGCTGAGCTATTAATTTGTTGACCTTTTCATTTCATTAACCAATTAATAATAGAATAGGGGTTTAAATGGCATATTATTCTAGAGCATTTGAAGCAGCTGACATAAAAATCCCATTTGGGGACTTCTAAATCAAGCATATTTACAAATAAGGGTTTTAATCTTAAATACAAAATGTACATTTTCTTTTTTTGGCCAAATGACAGCGTTAAAAGGGCTTATCTTTGACTAAATTTTCTGTTTTAAAGTCTATATGATCCTGTTAACAGTTATATAATTACTAAAATTGAATGTCAAACATGAAAATTAAAGAAATACCGAAGTATATTCAGAGAAAAATATAACATCTGTCATAATCGTGCCTGTACAAACAAACACTCCCAGAGAAGCTAAAACGTTTACAAATGGACATCAGCATCTGGGTCACAGTGTAAAGGATTCTTGATCTTGCCATGTTTGTAAACACGTACTGAGTTTGCAGAGAAAAGTAGAGATAATAATAAATAAAAGAAAATGTTACAACATAGTTTGTAAGATTACTGGATTACTTAACATTTATTATTAAAAGCCTTATAATAATGAAATATTCCTGCCCAGGAAGAGGGAATTGAAACCTTTTCATTTTTGAAGCTGCATTTAAAACTCTATTTAGGGTATTCGCTAAAGGGTATTGGAATCCAAAGAGTGATGAATCACACTGTTTGCTTTAGAGCTCTAAAAGTTCCCATAAAACAGCTGAGCGGGGGTTCTTTGGTTGGACATGCTTAGGTGTTTCCTAAAGAAAGGGAGGTCTAACATCCTGAAACACCTAGGACATTTTGTTTTAAATATAATAAAGAAAAAAAAACACATACACACATAGATTTACTGAAAAACAAAAACCTGATAGGGCTTTAACTCCAAGATTGTTTAGAGGAAAGAAAAAAAAAAGAAAAAATGTAAATAAATGTTTTTAATGAATGTAAACACGCCACAAGTACCAATAAATCAATTATATTCCTTGTTAACAGCCTGTTGTCTAATTTCACTTGTTTATAATAAACTAAGAGAAAACTATTCATCTTGTTAACACCCTTTATCTTCTGATATTTCTCTGCAGTGTATCACTACAGTCAACTATGATTATTTAGTCTTAGTAGCATAAAAATAGAGACCCACTAAATATAAATCATATTATGACTATTTTAATTATACTTTTGTTCAAGCAGATATCTGTATGTAAACAATTACAACACCAACCAAATTAAAGCAGGAAGGTGAATAAAATTTTTTTTTCACGTAACCATTACTATAATCACACTTGATGCCCTATCGCGGAATATTGAAAGAGTTGAAAGGTTCATTTTTAAATTTCATAGGAATGATATCAGGCAGTAAGATATAAGCATAAAAGGTCTATTTGATGTAATGAAGCTTAATGAAGATGGACAGAAAACAAACAACCTCTAGCTCAGGCACATTTTAGAGATATTAAGACCCATCAAGCAATATATATATTTTTTTTATTTAGGAAAAAAAAGAATCTAAAAAAGTCTGAATGTCGGCCCTAACCCCTATATAGGGGCACTATATAGTGGTTACACCATTTTAGATGAGTGTCCGAAGGTATAGTGGATGAAAAAGTAGTGGACTCGAAATTTCCCACAATGCACCTTAATAAGTAGTGATCATGCCTGGTCGAGCAGATATATCCCAGAATGCTTAGTGAGAGCTCGCACTGCAACATGGGATATGTTGTGACAGCGGGGACAGATAACACAGATGGCGCAAGCAGGGAGGTAGAATTATGTGACCAACGGGGAGCAAAAAGTAGTGTCACCTGTCCGAACGGCCAGTCAACTGAGCTCACATTAAAGTCCACTATATAGTCCCTAGTTTATATAGTGAATGAGGGATCTAGGGGTTAGGGGTGGACGTTTGGGCACAAACCATGTCAATTACCACCACATATCCAACATCCCTTAAAACATCAAGAAGTAGAGATTGAAATGAGCCCATTCACCAGCAGCTTCAACAAAACCTTGCTTCAAAAAGAATGTTTGATGATCTACATTTAAATCAGAAGCACAAATTGCAATATAGCAGATAAACAAGATCTTTCAGAGGATCGAGAATGGAGCTAAAAGCAGCCGAGGAACATAAACAAACTTGTGTGCTGAAAAATTACAATATCAGTTACAATAAATTCATTTTCTTCCTCCTCTTTTTTATCCAGCATTAGAAGGCTACCATCAGTCACTATGACCTTTAGCATCCGTGTCACCTTCTTGCATTCAATTTAGCAAGATTAAAACTTAAAATAGAATACCCATCTTATCCTTAATTTCCAAAAACATTTGAGATGTGTAAAGGTTTTTGTTTTGCTTCTTTACATTTTACACACTAATATTGTGATAATAAATTTGTGACAGATTGTCCAGATATAACTGAGACGGCCGCTGGGTAGTTCCTGTTCTCTGTCCAGAAACTCTGTTTGGGGAACTGCAGGTATAATCTAAATGTAAAACTATAAACCAAAGGAGGAATGATACCTGTTCCCTGATATTCACTCCTCTATATGTTAGTCTGTCAAATCTCAGCAAGCAGCTCATTCATCTGCAGAACTGATACCACCCCAGTGCCTTCCATCCGCTGATAAATTCAGCTCTTTCAACAGCCAAATGGAATATGATCTCCCTTCCTCCATCTTCATAACTCTCCCTCCTCCTAGTGATCATCCTGGGAGCTGAAGTGCTTCCTCTGCCTCTGCTGTTGATTATGACAGAGGGAATGTAACAGCAACAGAGAGGAGGTCAAAAGTATACTTATTCTGCAGCTGCCTCAGGAACACACTAAATAAGACAGACATTCTCAGTCTCTGCTGTGCATGAGTGTGTGTGTGCACTAATACTGTCCAAAGAAGGGGGGCTGAGGAGTATAGTGGATGATTCATAGCAAAACATAGAATCGTTAAGATCTTTTATGAGACATGTTTTTTTGCTTGTATGTTTCTTTCACACTTGATACTCACTCATTTATTAGTTTTATTTAGTGTAAATTGGCCCTGAGGCAATTTTTCATGTTGATGATTGAAACAACAAGTACTTGTTGGGCGTGCTGCACATCCAGCTGAAAAGGCGGGATGACAAACATTTGGCTGCAGAAAAGCAGGCAATGAGTTAAGGGTTGTTTTTTCCAGCCAGAGGATTGTGGGAATATTTGGGGTGGGTGTGCGAACTGGTTTCAATTAGCCAGGATTACTCTTGCAACATTAAACACAGAAAAATACCATATATTATTGAGTGAGTTCTCAAGAACAGTTAAATAAGAGACTCTGCTAGAAAAGTTTTCTGATAGGTGTGGTCACAGACTGATTGCAACAACACCCTGAAAAATGCTAGTTTTACATGTATGTGCTACATAGCTGACACATAGAAAGCTTTTCACTCTAATGGTTTTTATCCCAGCTAAACAAGCTGAGTAACAAACATTCACACATAATAAGCAAAAATATATGCATACTTATACACAGCTAGGTGCACATTCCTTCTTATGATATTGACTCCGTCTTATCTTCTAATTGGAAAAGTAGATAGATGAAGCGAAAGCAGAGTGGAAACACACCTGGTAATCAACTCTCCCTGCAAGACTAAAACCCATTTCATGGATCAATGTCCTCTGACTTTCCTGTCAAGTCTGGTATGCACATGCCTCTGCCTGACAGTCATATGTCTCCCTCTCCTGTGCTGCATAGCCCCATTCCCGACCTATGTATCCTCCAATGCACAATCGAAACAAGGTCAAAAGGAAAAGGAGAGTCGAGTTGTATCCGATGGCCAGAACCAACCATGACATTTCTTTCATGATCCTGTCTGAACACATGCTGTGTTAAATCTTCCATTCTTAAAGGCAGAATGACTTACAGCAAAACAGAACTACACCAAACTCTGAATTTGAAAATATAGTTTTCATTACACTATAGCCTCCATTGAATAGAATTTGCATTAGGCAATACATGTTGTGTTGTTTAATAAGGGATTGCCTATAAAGCCATGCTGCTTTTGCAGAGGAAGGCACAACCCTTTAAAGACATTGAGAAACCTGTTCATGCACTTCAATATTTACAAGCAGCAAAGCACATGTCTAAACTTCCCTCTTTTGGTATTTCATTTGGTTTTACAAGTTTCTATTTTTGCATACTCTATTTTTTTCTTCTACCCGTTTAGCAGTTAGTCCAAAAAGTGTAACAGCTTAAATCTGACTGTTCTAATAAAGCATTATTCCTTTGTAAAAAGGTTCCAATATGAGAGAAAAGGTCAGACAAAATGTCGACTGAATTCAGGAAAGAAAAGACACCAAATTTAAAATACAGAATCATTGGGAATCTTTCAGTTTTTGTATGAGAGCTGAATTATCAGATCACTTGAGAGCTGATTAATCAAAAACACTTGGACAGTTTTTATGTGACAACATAAAAACTGTCCCTGTGTTTTTGTTTAATTTTTACAGCGGTGTTCACAGTTAAAGTGAGACCGTATCAGCTGCTGCAGCTTCCTGTCCACTGAGCAGATAACATCAAACAGACAGGTTCGGCCCAAAACCAAACCGCTCCACATGCACAGATCCTCAGCAGATTCCCTGCAGACCTTCCAGCAGCGTCTGCCAAGTCAGAAGGCCGCTTAGAATTAAATAATAAACCCACTCATGCTTTTGATGTCTTTGTAAGAATATAATGCAATTTTAACTTTAGATTTTAATTGGTTGGTATTCTGCAGAATTAAAGACTGCTTCATGACGATCACATGAAACACATCATACTGCTTTATTGTTTTTCTTTTTAGAGCTTCAGAAACCTAATAAATTAGCTCCAATAAATTAGGGTAAATTCACTGTTCTCTTTGTTTTCCATCATCATGATGAGTCTCCTCCTTATCTGAACTTTACAAATTAAAGAGAATCTTAAAAATATGCTTCCTTATTGAACTTAAAGCATGTATCATTCACCCTTGGTGGATTCCAATACAAGTTGCATATTATTATATAATTTCCAAATAGAGAATAATCCATAATCATGCTTTAATGATCCTAATCATAAAATTAATTGAGGGCAGACATCTTCCTCTTCCTCTGTTTTATCCATAAATTGTTTATATTTTTGAAACAAGAGAAATAATAAAAATCTTCTTATTTCCATGCTCAAATTCATAAAAAAAAGTTACCATTTCATTTTTTATAAAACTATAAACCTTTGGATTTGTATTTTTTATCTTTTTTTCATCCACTCTACTCTAAGCCACAAACACGATTAAAGAAAGAACAACACCATGTATCATTAGTTTCTGAAAGGCAGCTTACCCCTCCAGACGGACGTCAGGTAGTGAGCGATTGAGAGCTATCCTCTCTGAGGCCATGAGGTTAAACTGGTTTATCTTAAACATCTCCTTCATTTTCTCCTGTTCTTCTTTAGGGATCACCACCGGCTTCCCGCCTTCACCAGGCCCGTCCCGTGGTCTGGACAGGCCATCTATGATGGACATAAACAGATTTTCTCTGAAATGCATGTATATAATGTAAAGTGTCAAGGAGTAAATGTGGACGGAAGTACCTACCAGCTCTCCCAGGTAGTCCCCTCTCCTTTTTATCATCGCACTTGTTGCACTCGCTGAAGTAGAGCAGAATGAACATGTCCAGCATCACCCAGACCAGAGAGGTGGCTAAAACCACTTTACAGTAAGCAAACCTTCGCATCCTATAAATGCAAAGACAGAGAATTAGAAAGCATGGAAAATAAATAGATAAAAATGTAACCATCGCAACTTCCTGTACATATCTTGTCTATAAATGTATCTAATCTAAACATTCAAATCTGTCTCAATTCAACATTTTATTCAAACAGCATTTCTACGGTTGCTTCTGGTGAAAGCAACAATACCCTTCTACTGCACGTAAATGCACTTCTCTCTGTAGAGAGAGAAATTTATGAGAACCCAGACTATGAAGCTGAACTAATGCACCTTCCTTTTTCAACCAGACTTTGCAAATGTACCAAAAGCCAGATAAAAAATTAGATAAAGGAAGAGAAAAACACTGTGACAACTACAGAACTGGGCTGACTTCTATTCTAAATGAGAGCAGACTGACACATCAGGTTTAAATAGCCCTCACAATTTTTTCTAGCAGTCTGTACTCAATGCAGCCTCATTTTTTTCCAGATAGAGCAATATAAGCTATATATATACAGTGGGGCAAAAAAGTATTTAGTCAGCCACCAATAGTGCAAGTTCTCCCACTTAAAAAGATGAGAGAGGCCGGTAATTTTCATCATAGATATACCTCAACTATGAGAGACAAAATGAGAAAAAAAATCCAGAAAATCACATTGTCTGATTTTTAAAGAATTTATTTGCAAAATATGATGCAAAATAAGTATTTGGTCAATAACAAAAGTTCATCTCAATACTTTGTTATATACCCTTTGTTGGCAATGACAGAGATCAAACGTTTTCTGTAAGTCTTCACAAGGTTTTCACACACTATTGCTGGTATTTTGGCCCATTCCTCCATGCAGATATCCTCTAGAGCAATGATGTTCTGGGGCTGTCGCTGGGCAACACGCACTTTCAACTCCCTCCAAAGATTTTCTATGGGGTTGAGATCTGGAGACTGGCTAGGCCACTCCAGGACCTTGAAATGCTTCTTACGAAGCCACTCCTTCGTTACCCGGGCGGTGTGTTTGGGATCATTGTCATGCTGAAAGACCCAGCCACGTTTCATCTTCAATGTCCTTGCTGATGGAAGGAGGTTTTCACTCAAAATTTGACGATACATGGCCCCATTCATTCTTTCCTTCGCACGGATCAGTCGTCCTGGTCCCTTAGCAGAAAAACAGCCCCAAAGCATGATGTTTCCACCCCCATGCTTCACTGTAGGTATGGTGTTCTTTGGATGCAACTCAGCATTCTCTCTCCTCCAAACACGACGAGTAGAGTTTTTACCAAAAAGTTCTATTTTGGTTTCATCTGACCATATGATATTCTCCCAGTCATCGTCTGGATCATCCAAATGCTCTCTAGCAAACTTGAGACGGGCCTTGACATGTACTGGCTTAAGCAGGGGGACACGTCTGGCACTGCAGGATTTGAGTCCCTGGCGGCGTAGTGTGTTACTGATGGTAGCCTTTGTTACTTTGGTCCCAGCTCTCTGCAGGTCATTCACTAGGTCCCCCCGTGTGGTTCTGGGATTTTTCCTCACCGTTCTTGTGATCATTTTGACCCCACGGGGTGAGATCTTGCGTGGAGCCCCAGATCGAGGAAGATTATCAGTGGTCTTGTATAGGGCTGGGTATTGTTAAAAAAATTTCGGTTCCGGTACCAATACCGATACCTTCACTTCGATACCGGTTCCTGAACGATACTTTTTTCGATACCAGTTTTATAATATCAATTCGAAAAAAAAGAAAATTACACAACATAAAATAGTACAAATCTTGAGTTTTATTTTAAGCTCTGTTTTTCCATTTACATTTTTCCTCTTACATAAAAAAATAAATAATTCAGTGTCTAATATTCACTGTTACATTGTGAGGACCTTTTTACTTAGCAGTTTTCCTTTAGAAAAATTACCATGTCTGACAAACAAGCCCGTTGAATGGGATCCTACTGACAGCGCACCGCTGGTATGGGGGGGGTCTGAGCGGCTCCGACTGAAATATTGAAGGCAGGATGAACTGACTGCACTGATTACGTTTTCAGGTGGATTTTCCCACTTAAAAACATAATAAAACTACTTTATTCCCACTGATCACAGCAAATATAGCTGCAAGGCAAATAAAGGATAGAGTAGCTCCGCCCAACGCGCGTCTGACCCACTTTGCGACCGCGCAGCCAGAGCAGCAAAGCTTCTTCAGCAGCGCGTCAGAAGCTGGTACAAGCAGCAAAAATGAAGCAGCAGACGAGATTTTGCTGCTCTTGCTGCGTCCAGTTTGAAAGCAGCATGATTCACTCCGCTCTGGCTTTGCTCTGCCCACGGGCTGCTGAGAGGAGGATGGTCGCGCTGGCTGCGGTCCGCTCTTCTTGCAGTCAAACACAGAGCGACTTTCTGCTCTTAAATTATTTCCGTGCACGATGTATTGCATTGTGCACTATTAGCATCAGTCTTAATAAAGTGAAGCCGCACTTTTGACCTGGGGGGCATTTTAAAGGGGTTCCGCGACGCTGCAACCAGTTCACAAAAGATACAGGTGCTGGTCATAAAATTAGAATATCATGAAAAAGTAGATTGATTTCAGTAATTCCATTTAAAAAGTGAAACTTGTATATTATATTCATACATTACATACAAACTCATATATTTCAGATGTTTATTTTGTTTAATTTTGATGATTACAAATGACAACAAATGAAAATCTCAAATTCATCATATCAGAAAATTAGAATATTGTGAAAAGGTTCAAAATTGATGGCCCCTGGTGCCACACTCTAATCAGCTAATTAACTCAAACCACCTGCAAAAGCCTTTAAATGGTCTATCAGTCTAGTTCTATAGGCTACACAATCATGGGGAAGACTGCTGACTTGACAGTTGTCCAAAAGACGACCATCGACACCTTGCACAAGGAGGGCAAGACACAAAAGGTCATCGCTAAAGAGGCTGGCTGTTCACAGAGCTCAGTGTCCAAGCACATTAATAGAGAGGCGAAGGGAAGGAAAAGATGTGGTCGAAAAAAGTGTACAAGCAAGAGAGATAACCGCACCCTGGAGAGGATTGTGAAACAAAACCCATTCAAAAATGTGGGGGAGATTCACAAAGAGTGGACTGCAGCTGGAGTGAGTGCTTCAAGAACCACCACACACAGACGTATGAAAGACATGGGTTTCTGCTGTCGCATTCCTTGTGTCAAGCCACTCTTGAACCACAGACAGCGTCAGAAGCGTCTTGCCTGGGCTAAAGAGAAACAGGACTGGACTGCTGGTGAGTGGTCCAAAGTCATGTTCTCTGATGAAAGTAAATTTTGCATTTCCTTTGGAAATCAAGGTCCCAGAGTCTGGAGGAAAAGAAGAGAGGCACTTAATCCACGTTGCTTGAAGTCCAGTGTAAAGTTTCCACAGTCAGTGATGGTTTGGGGTGCCATGTCATCTGCTGGTGTTGGTCCATTGTGTTTTCTGAGGTCCAGGGTCAACGCAGCCACATACCAGGAAGTTTTAGAGCACTTCATGCTTCCTGCAGCTGACCAACTTTTTGGAGATGCAGATTTCATTTTCCAACAGGACTTGGCACCTGCACACAGTGCCAAAGCTACCAGTACCTGGTTGAAGGACCATGGTATCCCTGTTCTTAATTGGCCAGCAAACTCTCCTGACCTTAACCCCATAGAAAATCTATGGGGTATTGTGAAGAAGAAGATGCAATACACCAGACCCAACAATTCAGAAGAGCTAAAAGCCACTATTAGAGCAACCTGGGCTATCATAACACCTGAGCAGTGCCACAGACTGATCGACTCCATGCCACGCCGCATTGCTGCAGTAACACAGGCCAAAGGAGGCCCAACTAAATACTGAGTGCTGTACATGCTCATACTTTTCATGTTCATACTTTTCAGTTAGCCAACATTTCTATAAATCCTTTGTTTTTATTGGTCTTCAGTAATATTCTAATTTTCTGATATGATGAATTTGAGATTTTCATTTGTTGTCATTTGTAATCATCAAAATTAAACAAAATAAACATCTGAAATATATGAGTTTGTATGTAATGTATGAATATAATATACAAGTTTCACTTTTTAAATGGAATTACTGAAATCAATCTACTTTTTCATGATATTCTAATTTTATGACCAGCACCTGTACACATGAACCCTGGCTGTAGGCGTGACCACCTGTGTATTTTTCCTGGATGACGCAATCACCTTAAGTGTTCCAGCCAATCACCGAAACTTGGTACCGAAAGACGAGGCATGTTTCGATACTCTGTAGAACCGAAGCATTTCGGTCGGTACCATAAAAGTACCGAAGTTCGGTACCCAGCCCTAGTCTTGTATGTTTTTCATTTTCTAATAATTGATCCCACAGTTGATTTCTTCACACCAAGCTGTTTACCTATTGCAGATTCAGACTTCCAGCCTGGTGCAGGTCTATAATTTTGTTTCAGGTGTCCTTTGACAACCATGGTGGAGTTTCGAGTGTGACTGTTGTGGACAGGTGTCTTTTATACTGATAACGGGTTCAAACAGGTGCCATTAATGAAGGTAACGAGTGGAGGACAGAGGAGCCTCTTACAGAAGAAGTTACAGGTCTGTGAGAGCCAGAAATCTTTCTTGTTTGTAACTGACCAAATACTTATTTTCCACCATATTTTGCAAATAAATTCTTTAAAAATCAGACAATGTGATTTTCTGGATTTTTTTTTTCTCATTTTGTCTCTCATAGTTGAGGTATATCTATGATGAATATTACCGGCCTCTCTCATCTTTTTGAGTGGGAGAACTTGCACTATAGGTGGCTGACTAAATACTTTTTTGCCCCACTGTACTAGGCAGCAGCTCTTCCAATTACTGTGCACTGCCCCAATTCTTTTACAGGTACGAAGCATCAAACAGTTACTGGGTACCTTTTTTTTACCCTTGACTATGATACTTACTGCAGTAGTGTCTCCCTTTGTGCCTTTAGTAAGGGCAGGGTGCATAGGAGGGCACTTCTTGAAGGTATACACATATAATAGAAGACAAAAGCTTAAAGATAATCTATC